ATAATACATTTTAACTGAAGATACCGAGCAATATTTCCACATGTAATCAGTATGAACAAGGACACAACGAGGAGAGCAGGGCTGCAGGAGGTTGCTTTTGTATTCCCCTGGGCCACCACAGTATGGGATGGGCTCGCTCCTGTGACTTCACCCTTGTAATAACCCTGCTTGAATCCACTCACTCTGGGTGTGCCAGCAGTTTCCGGTTGAGACCCCGTGCCATAAAAAGCTTCATCGGAGCACAGACTAGAAGCAAGTTGAGGGGCCTGGAGCCAAGACTACTGGTCATTGAAAAGGAAAGGTCATTCGAGGGGTCCCAGCTTGGGTGCTAGGGCAGCCAAGTCACCATCTCTGTTTAGGGGTCAGTCAGGGCTGGGGTGGAAGAAGGGCTGTTCGCAGCAGGCCACACAGCCCGTAGTAGAATCACACTCAGCTGTCTACATAGAGGGTTGTGTGGGCCAGGCCTGGCTCCATCCAACCCTCCCACCAGACCTCAAACACTCAGTTGTGCAAACTAGATATTGAACCTCATAATGGGCAGGGGACTGACATAGTTTAAATTCAACCTTGTTCTACATTTTACTGATTATTTGGCAACTGAGTTTGATTTTTCTTTATTGATTTTAGAGGAAGGGAGAGAGAGAGAAACATCGATGAGAGAGAACATTAATTGGCCACCTCCTGGACCCACAGGAGTCCAGGCCCACAACCTGGGAGTGTACCCTGACTGGGAATCGAATCAGTGACCTCTTGGTACATGGGTCAACACTAAACCAGAGTCACACTGGTCAGGCAGTTGGAATTTTTTTTAAGAACCGTATCGGTCTCTTTATACTATTTAATAGACACCTGAAGCAACTGTTTGATTCTCTGATGGGAATGGAGCAGAAAGGAGGGAAATAATTTAAATAGCACATGTGATTCTACATCAGTTACCTGGCAGGTGGGATCTGCTGTTCCAAGTCTGTTTCTGCACATTGCTCGGCACTCCTGGAGAGCACCCCGGCTGACGCCACTCAGAGGTTTCCCACCACTGTGTTATAGCCTCGACTGGGCGACGGACACAGCATTTCTAAGAGTAACTTTAGTTGTATGTCATTTCCCCCCAAGTTGCTAATTTTAGAACCTAATCCCCGCTGTTTTATCATTCCAAAGAGAAAAGCAAGTAGAACCTTCTAATTTGTAACCTTTTATAGCCCACCATAATCCAAAAAATTTGACAGACACACATATTAATTTGTTCTGATGTCTGTTCTCTGGGAACCAAGGAGTGGATGTGGGGACTTTGAGGGGTAGGTTTGTTTTGCTTCCTAAATAGGTCACCACCCACAAGGGCTGTTCAGTGTATATGCCATCTCTCTGCTCCCACACCCTCCCAGTTGCCAACTCGAGAAGTTTTGCTCCTCCAAAATAACACCAAGGTCAAGCAAACCATTTAGATTTAGGGTGCTGCCTAACTGGTTTTGCTTAAGTCAATTAGGTATAAATACACTGGAAGTCACCCAGGGGTGCATGACCACAGTGATGTTTACTCTTTCCATGAGGTTGTGCAAACACCGGCCATGCCATAAATTTAGGAAGAGTGTGCATGTCAATACAAGGGATTGCACATTTCTCACACAGGTACTTTCACCAACTCACAGAGGTTGCAACACTAGCTTGTTTGAACCCAAAGGAAGAAATGGGTAGAAGCTATCAGATGCCCTGAGTATCAGGTGCTGAGCTCAGCAGAGAATGCACTTAGAGGAGTGTGGTCCCTGACAGACACTAAGAGCTAGAAAACATTAGCTCTTATTATTGGTGCAGTCTGCAGTATATGGAGAGAGTGGTTTTGGTGCAGACTGGCTTTATTCTTTCCTTGTTTTTGTGGCAGGATATGGGAATGGAGAGGATGAATAGCCAGTGTGCTGAGTGAAGGAATGAAGGCAATTAAAGCCATGGAAAACGCCTGGGTATGCCCATGTAACAAAAACAGTGTCAGAGGCCAGTCCAAACAGTTTGGCAGGAAGGCCCCAAAAAGTCCAAGTTAGAAGGGGGTGGTTGGACAGAGTCTAGGAAGGGAACTCCTACATCATGCGTAGCCCTACCCTCTGCAAGTCAGAAAGCCAAAGCAGCCTGCCACCAGGGGAGCCACTGGCAACACAGAACCCAGATCACACCAAATGCACAACTGACAGTTACCCAGCAAAAGTCCTAGGGCTGCTACAGAGCATCCTAACCAAGAATGTTCCCATGGGACCAGATGTGGCCAGAGGAAAAGATCCTCCTAGATTCCTTCATCCCTCATTCAATTTCTCCTACTAGATGGAAATGTAGCCCAGAGGAGTAAGAACCTGCCTGCACCCCTCACACTAAGATGGCCACTAGGGAGGAATATAAACATTTTATGGCGCATGGACTGTGTGAGGCACTGGGGATGGCATGACCGAGCTGCTCTCTCTGAGCCGAGTGAGGTCCAGATACAAAAAGGGGAATGAAATGGTAGGTCAGCAGGGTGCACTCAGCCAAACGAAATGGGCAGGACAAGGTGGGGGTCCTACAGGAGGAACTTCCTGAGCAGAGCTATCGATGTGCTATGGTGGGGTATGTAGTCAATTTTGAACTATCCTTTCACATGGCTACTTGAAAGCCAGAGTCATTTTGACAAGACCAGAAAATGTTTTAAATCTTAGCTCTTTGTGCATTTTCAATTCATCTCTTCCTTGGATATCTTCTCCACTGGGCAAGGGATGAAGCCAAACTGGCCAGAGATGGGGAAGATGCTGATTCTTCCAGATTTCTCTGGTTCTGGTTTTTCTTCCAACTGGGGCAGTGAGGGATGGGAGATAAAAACCAGGCCAGGTATATCTGAGACTCTGAGCAAAAGCTAAGCGGGGAAGGTAGAAGGGGCTTGGATCCTGCTGCCTAGATTGTTTCCTGTTTTAAAAGTCTAAGATCTGCAACTCACAGGAGAGCAGGTAGTGTGAAGTGTTGCAGGAAATTAAAGTGGGCTGGTTTCCACAACTTGGCACTAGGGGGCTCTGAGCTCAGCATCTTTCTCCTAAGAAGAGAAATGAAGACCAGGGAGGGGCTACCGTCTGATGACACCCGCTAAAACGCTCTGTCATTCGCACTGACAGCACATCGTTCAAAAGGGAGAACTGCATGCCAAGATGGGGTTGGGCCATTTTTACCGTGTCCTCTGCTCCGGGTCAGTTCAGCTCCTCGGTCACAGCTTTGTGTCCCATGTGAAAACCAGATCCGGAATGGCTGAGTTGGGAAAACCAACCAAGAGTGTTGTTTATCCTGTGTGTCCACCCTGGGAAAATGTAGAACCAAGAGCCAATAACAATGATAGCGTATGTACTGGGCACTTACACACCAAGCTGTACCCTAAGTCCTGTCTGTGTGCATCTCCTTTAATCCTGAATCAGGAATCAGCACAAGCCTAACAGGAAGGTCCACTGAGACGGCCAGTTTAGAGCAGACCACAGGGGAGGAGGACAAGCACTGGGAACTCCAGCCCAGGGGGCTCTCAAGTTGAAAAGCATTCCCAACAGTCATATAAATAAGTTATATAGAACTTTGTAAGCTATATACATGTCTAACCTCTGTTTTACACCTGAAACGAATGGAATGTTGTGTATTAACTGTAACTGAAAATATTTTTAATTGGGAAAAAAAGCATTTCCCACATACCACAACTAGGGTGAATCGGAAGGACAGTGATAACTTTTACTAAAATCCAGTGGGAAAATACAACATAAAAATAGCCACGTTAGCAAAGCTGTAACCTTGACAAGCGACTGGCCATAGACACAGCTGAGCTTATCAGCCCCAAATCCCCATCTGTGCTGGAGGGGCTGGTTCAGTGGAGGTTCAGTCAGGTCAGACTTGGTTTCCAGATTCTTCAGAGCTGGTCACATAACCTGGCCCCAGGCAAACACAAAATGACCCTTCAAACCAAGAAGGGTTCTGTGTTTTGGTTAGTTTTGTACTCTTGACCCTGAAGTCGCCTGGGTTCTGGAATTTGTAAGATTCTTTGGTTCTCGCTGCTGATGGCCAGCGTCAGACTGTGGCAGCAGTGCAACAGCTCCTCCTGGTGTGGACAGCGGCAGCAGCTCCTCATGGGGAAAGGACAGGACACCACACGAGCCTCCTGAGTGGCCAGAGACCAAAGAGAAAGCAAGCTGCTGCCGGCCTCTGCTCAGGCCTGTCACAATCAGTGAGCCTGCGGGCTCCAGCCTATCAGAGGGTATCATTATCCTGTGTCAGACGAGGGCAAAGCTGTTCAACATCAAGAAACACTTTGCAGTTGTAGGACCCTCTCTTCAGGGAAGGGCAGACACTGCCTAAGGATAAGGGCAGAAGAAACCAAAGTGGATTCCAGTTTGGAAGCTGCTCTGTGGCCACCCACTGCCTCAGCCACAGGTGATCCGACTACTCCTGGCTCGTGCTGCCCTACTCAGCTGGGCAGGCCTGGCCAAAACCTACCTAACCTTGCCGTCTTTCTCCTTTGGGACCATCACAGCGCGGCCCTCACTCATCACTTCCCCATTAGCCCCTGCCCTGGTTTTTCACCACCCCTTCTCCACAGCCTGAAGCTTAGCCAGGTTACAAGGTCTTTTGGTGGGTACTTGGTTTCAAGCCACCTGGTTTTTAGATTCTCCACAGCAGCTTCTGCAGCAGCCAGTACCTCCCAGCCCCACCAAGCAGTGTACGACCACAGGTCTGAATACATCCTTAATGACTTCTGAACAATTAACTAATTATGCCCAGACAAGTTGTAAGAATGTCAGACAGTACCTCATCCAACAGGAAATACAGTGGGTGCTGGGCAGGCAACAAACTCAAAATCAATGTTAAAGGGTTGCAAAATGTAAGCTGGTCTCTTTTCGGGGGGCATTCTCCCCCCCTCCCCATAACAATTAAAAAATAGTTTTTAATCCTTACAACTCCATTTACAGTATCCTTCTTTGTTACTTCAAAAAAGGAGGAAAAAAAATCTGCAACTCAGATCCCATTTAAGATGCATGTTTTTATTGAAATTTTAAAAAAAATTGTAATCAGACAGAATAAAGTAGACAAGAATGTTATAATCTGACTATATATCTCTCATTCTTGTTGAATCACTAAAATATAATGAAGGATCGTTCTCTATGCTAGTTTTAAGGTTGTCCAGTTAAACCATTATTTGGTATCTTTTCAACAGGTTAACATCTTAACTATTTAGAATTTCTTCTCAGAAACATTCATATATTATACAGGAAACATTCATAGTTTATTTGGGAAACATTCATATTATATACAGGATATACAAATGTGAAACAATAAAAAAACACACACAAATGTAGCCACAACACTATCCTAGCTGCATTGTGGTGATGATGTTCAGTCAGCTGCCCACTATACACAACTGGATTTAATAGTGTTATTTACAGAGGGGTCAAAAGCACTCATCGAAGGTAAAGGCGCTCAGGTTTAATGTGCACTTTCACAGCCCTGTGAAACACAACCATTATATACACTGTAAACACCACAGGGAGTGAAATCCATTTCCATCCACAAACATCAATCTCACAGGATCAAGCATACAAGGTCTAAGGTAAGGTGCCTGACTTTTCCTTCATAAGCATACGTGTCATCCATGACTGCTGCTGTTCTTTTCATAGGACACTACTCACTTGTTTCAAATATGGTGCCAGAGCTCAAACATTTCTGGAACCCTTCTTGGGGATTGCCTGCACAGTCTGCAGTGAACTTTTCTGACCATCCTTGATGGTGGCAAGTCTTCGTCCTCTGAGGATGGATGTGATTTGGGAAAACAGGCATAATTATTCACAGCCAAGTGAATCAAACTGTGGGCTTCCGCCCTGGATCAAATGTGAGACGCCACTATAAAACAATGAGACCAGTTTTCTTGTACAGCTTGTAAATTAAAAAACACCCGCACAACGGCAGTCCTGAAGGAATAGGTGCAGATTCTCCCAGAGTGATGCCTCTAAGGCAACGCTCACTTGAACGGTGCGTCTAGGTGGTGGTTTGCAGTTTTAAAAATCAGTCACCTTGTCGCCTCTCACATAGACTTCAGTATTCCTCTTCAGTGTCAATCCCTTTTGCTTTCTTATGGATTGCCCGATTAAAGCTGTGGCAAGCAGGGACCCAATGATTGTCGTGAAGCCCCAGCTTGCAGCCAGGGAAGCCCTTCTGGGAGCGGTGGCAGCACATCCAGTATCCTGGCCCGTAGGGCAGTGCCTGGCAATAGGGCTTTGGGTGCCAGCGGCACAGGGACACATCCCCTTTCACATACTTTTTCTTGCACTGCTTACAAGGATCCTCTCTATAGCGTGGATCTCGAACCCAGCGGGAATCTGCTGGCCTAATGTTGTAGTATTCAATGATGAACTTGAAATAGCAGCAGGTACATTTAAGAGCCACTAAACTCTTGGTGGGAAGTAACCTGAAGATTTTCACCATAATGTGGTGGGGCAGGAAAGCCATGTACTGCTGAGGCTCTAAAAGCTGCTGGATTTTAAACCTGGTCTCCAGAAAGTCATGAGACACCTGCTTCTTCCAGCCAGCTGCCTCAAGCACCGGTACTCTTCTTTCCACAGGACAGGCTGGCGCTGGGACACATGGATCAGCTGAAACACTCTGTTCCACAGGTGTGCTGCCACCCTCAGCAGCATCTTCAAACTGGCTGGCCTCCGAAGATTCTTCTGTTGTGCTTTCATTCCATGGGGAACAGTCCGACTGGTGCTGACCTGGCAGCAAAAAAAACAACCTCCCGGGAAGTGGGTCTTCATAGGACTTGACACTAGAAGGCAGGTCTCTCTCCACCTTGGACACCGTGATGCTAATGCACACAGATTCTTTTCTTCGCTGATCAGGATTTTGAGGCACAAGCTCTCTACTCATACAATCAACAGCATCTGTGGGCAACTCAATGGCTTGGGGACAGTTTCGAGGAGGAAAAGGTGACTCAAGTTCCTCTGTCATTTCTACATCATACCTATTCCTGTTTTTCACAGCAGTTTGCTGATCCGACTCTAATGCCACACTACTCACCTGGAAACTAACACCTGCTGGCAATGCAGGACAGCCCTGAGAAGCCCCATCCCAGGCCTGCTTCCCCTCAAGAGAACAATGGTCAGCTCTTGTCGGGCCACAGTCCATAGACACAGACCCCACAGGATTCACCTGAGTGCCAGGTGCCTCCAAAGCACCTTTGTTTGTTTTGCCTTCATCAGCCTGAGTGCCGTTTGCAAGCAATACCCGGCCTATATTTCGACGGAAGCTGTTATTCCTCGAGAGGCTCCCAGGCTCCCGCTGGCTCTGCCGCTTCAGGCACTCAGACTCCAGCCGGGCTACCATGTCGAGGACGCGGACTGGCTCACTCTGGGGTTCACCAATCTCAGGATTTCCCCTTTCTGTGGGTTCTTCACAAGCTCCTGGGGCAGAAAAGGGCTCAGAGGCTGGGGGCACACCTCTGGATTGCCCCGAAATCCTCACCACGGCAGGTGTGTTAGTGCAGTTTTTTGCACAACTGGCCAGGAGAGCAGCGCTTGCTCTTTGCTCCAGGAAGGCAACCATCTGTATGACGGACAGAGGCCTCCCAGCACAGAGGCCGTCCCCAGTGTCACTCACGTAATGCACAGAACAGTGCTCAATGCCACACGCAAAAGGCTCGGGCTCATAGCCTCTGCTGTTGACTTCCCTCATCCTTTCTAATTGTCTCTTGGCTTCTCTAAGATCCCCTGATTTTTTCCTTCTTTTAGTAGCTCTCCCATCAATATCCCAGGAGCTTTTTATTTTCATAGATCCTATCCTATTGTTACACTGGTGGGCTGCAAAAAATGCGATTTTCTCCTTGGTATTTCCCGGTTTCACCACAGCCCAGATATCAAGCGGCCCTTCCCCCTCTTCACCCTGGTGGATTGTTGCAGATGGTACATTCTTCTTGGTTTTAACATTCAAGCTGCTCTCTACAGGACTCTTCCCACTCATACTGCACAGAACATTTGGAGAAAGGACCCCAAAAGGTTTTCGCAATGATGCTTTACCAGAAGAGGTGGAAGGAAAGACACTTGGTTTCATGTAGCTAGCTTTGCATTTTTCGTCATGTATAGGTTCTTGGTGTCTCATGGGAGTTCTCAGAGTTTCCTTGTTAATTTCCAGAGGTTGTGCTTTCTTCTGCAGATTCCAATATGGTTTTAGGTGCATAACAGAGGCTCTATAGGAAAGAAATACATATTTGATTATGATTCTGATTTCGTTTTTAGGCAAGTTTTTTTTAACTTACACTCAGATGGTTCTAGCAAGTAACAGACACATTTTCTATCAGTTCACTAAATAGTTACCCTCATTTCAGCTAGTCTTTAATGTACAGATCAAGATAACAAGCAAAATGACCATTTTCCATGGTGTACAGGCCAGAAATAAGCCAGTGAATTTCAGACTCAGTAAACAGAATTTCAGAAAATTGACATTTAGTCAACATTCTATTAATAAAATCAGTGCTTAAAATAAAAAAATTTGAACATAGCAAATATATCCCAGTAAGTAAAAGACACAGTATAGACGAAAAGGAAAACAGAAAAGGAACTCATCCAGACTTCCTAGTACATTAACACTATTTCTAGGTCATTGCAACCAACATTTTATTGGTTGCAAAAGTCTATCAAAATTGTTATACAGTCCTTCCTCGCCACTTTGCGCTTTGACTTTCGCAGCTTCACTCTATCGCGGTTTTTTTTCAAAAAATACAGTATAGTATAGTATAGTATAGTATAGTATAGTATAGTATAGTATAGTATAGTATAGTATTTGAAAAACCGCGATAGAGTGAAGCCGCAAAAGCTGAAGCGCGAAGTGGTGAGGGATGACTGTGTATAAATAAAGAATCCTACTTCACAGAAATTCATTTATCCCGGTAGAGTCTGGAACTGATTAACTGTGATAAACGAGGGCCGTTTGTATTGTTTTCTAAGCTATTCCCACAGTACTGAATATTTAGATGTTTATAACTTTTAACCTGTTTGCTTATGTACTTTGCTCATTTATTACTCTTAATTTTCTAAACTATTTGTATAAGCTCTTAACTGACAATTCTTTTGTAATTATCATTAAATCAAATCTAGAACCTATAATCCTTATTAATTCTAAAAAACATTTAGAACTAGTTCAGAAAAACAGTGCCTTGTTTTTCTCCCTGACCTGGGGTGGAGATGGGAGCCATTTAAAAAATTAGACAAAAAGACGATTACATGCAGAGATCTGAGTTCCAGTTCTTGCCCTGTCACTAATTAACCACATGGTGATTTTTACCTTGGATAAGTCACTTCCTCTCTGAATCTGCACTGAAACATTAACTGAGGGGTTAGAATACTAGATTATGCATATCCAATGATCTCAACAATTAATACGTCAAAATAGCCCACTACTATACAAGAAAGTGTTGGGGTTTTTAAAAATATGTTTTTATTGATTTCAGAGAGAGGGAGAAAGAGACAGAAACATTGGTGAGAGACAAACATCGATCGGCTGCCTCCTGTACACCCACTAGTGATCAAGCCCACAACCTGGGCATGTGCCCTGACCAGGAATCGAACCAGCAACCTCCTGGTGCCTAGGATGATGCTCAACTAACAGCCACATCAGCTGGGCTACAAGAAAGTGTTTTGTAGGGATGCCTGGTCTCCTACAAAATAAACCTACAGACCAAAATAAATGTGTGTAGTCTCAGGCTGGTGGCAGTGAGACAAGAGCAATTTAAGAACATGGATTTTCACCCACTCTCACTCATGGGGACACCAGCCTAAGGCATACATATTGGGCAATTCAGCACATTCCTCTCTCATTTGCTCCATAACCTTTACTGGGTGCCTGCAATGTGGCAGCCTCTGTGGTAACTGCTTTCAGATATCAGCTTTTATCATCAAAAATGAAAGTGACCACCCAGAGCAAGTTTACCTTCCATTTCAAGTTTGAATTCCTAGGGTCTAGTCTCAGCTAAAAGAAGAAATGTGGATATGAGTACCTTCTAGCTAGGTAAAGAGAAATCTTGCATTTAAGGCACACAAAGTATCTTTTAAAAGATATCTCTGAAATAGATCTTTGGCAATTTATATCCTAAATCTGTATAGATCTTCTCCTTTCTGCATTATAACATTTTTTTTTTTATCCTCACCCGAGGACATTTTCCCATTTTTTGTTCAGATAGAGTGGGAGGGAGAGAGAAAGAGAAACATCAACGTGAAAGGGACACATTGAGTGGTTACCACCCACACGACCCAACCAGGGCCAGGGACAAACTGCAACCGAGGTACGTGCCCTTAATGGAACTGAACCCGGGTCTCTCTGGACCGCAGGCCGACGCTATAATCACTGAGCAAAACCGGCCAGGGCTGCATTATAACATTTTTAATAGTTTTCTATTAGATATTCTATAATTTGGTCTTATAAAAGAACCACCCGGAATTCAAGAACAAGATGAAGACATATGAATAAAATATATAAATTAATAAATAATACATGAACAAAAGAGGCACATCTAGTGCTATCTCTGTGTCAACAATTTTGTGGGGTTTTTTTCATATCCCTTCAACTCCTCTCTTAGTAAAATGAAAGAAATTGAATTTGTTGTAAAATCCAATGAATTCTCACATAATGATCTTATTACAGAATGTCTGTGGATAAATTTAAACTTCAGCAATGTGTGTACCATTGTGCATTGCATAATATGTTCTCTTCGCCTTTCTCACCCACACATTATTTTAGGCACTAAATTGATAGACAAGGACATTAAGAAGAAACAGAAGGATTTTGTTTGCATTTATTAACTTGTAAAGTCAGTTCAAATGACACAAACTAACAGGTATGGTTTTATAGCAGGATTAAATAGGAGATGAACCCAAGAAACAGAAAGGAAAGGAGAAATGGTACAGCAGGGAAGAAGAAAAGTTAACAGAATCATTTGATACAATTAGGGTCACTGCTGGAGAGTAGGGGAGGATTCTATGGGTCCCCTGAAAGAAACTGAATATTTATGCTTCAGTTCCCAATTGGTTGAGATTGCCTGGGATATTAACCTCTCCCCTTTCTCTGCAAGCCTTGAGGCCCTGTGCTGGAAAGACTTAGAGTGAGAAACTGCAGAACTCTGGGTTCTGGTTGATATCAGTGGTGACCACACTGATATGAGCAGGGCATCAAGGGCATTTGCTGCAAAGATCAACAAAATAAAAACTTTCCATCTCTAACACGCTGTACCAGATGGTGGCGCTTTCCGCACCCCCACCTAACTCCCTCAAACAGGCAATGCAGAAAGCTCCAGCCAGGTTTCCATGGTTGCCAATCTCTTTATCACAACTGTTTTATTTTTTTAAAGTTCGCCATAATAAAGTCCTGCTCTCTTGCAATTAAATAAAAAGCAGGGTTATAGCACCTACCTACACATGACTGTTCCTCAGATGCTCAGAATGTCCTTGTAAAATTTTAAGATCCCTGGGCCCAGTGAATCAGAATTTCTGGAAATTGGGCCCAGAATCTGTTTTTAACCTTAGATTAATTTGGACAGAACTTTAAACGTGTTGTGCTAGATCTGATGTAAGAGTGTCAGGGGTTCCAGATTTGAGCTGGGATTCTAGGCTGCCTCAATAGGGGTGAGGTGGATCTGCTCAACAAAAAGCCAAGCATACAGTCCATACTGAAGCATTCATCCTGACAGACAGGTAAAGACAGACTCATTTTCTTGTCATTCTATCTAAAGCAGAAAACATTTTATGGCCTTTTTATCGTCAAATTTCCTTGTCAACTTCAACTCCTCAGTTTCTTTGACACTGATTTTCCCAACGCTCTTAATCAGTGTTCCTCAGAGTTCTTTGTTTTTCTAGACCATTGTTATGAAAGCTATATATCTAAATGATCTCACAGTTTTTAAAAGTATTTTTTCTTTATTGATCTTAGAGAAAGAGGAAGGGAGAGGGAGGGAGGGAAAGAAACATCAATGAGAAAGAACATCGATTGGCAGCCTCATGCATGCGCCCCCACTGGGGATTGAGCCCACAACCTGGGCATATGCCCTGACCGGGAATCAAACTGGCGACCTCTTGGTGCTCAACCAGTGAGCCACACACCAGCCGGGTTGATCTCTTATAGTTTTAATGACGACAAACATAACACTCCAGTGGTGTGCTCTCCCAAACTTCAGATCCTATTGCCTGCCTAGCAGACATACTCACCTGGATGTCAAAAGAATTTCAAAAATTAACACAACTAGTTAATGATTATATCTAGTACCTACTCAACCAAGCAAGAAAGTTGAGTCACTTCGATTCCTTCTCCCTGACCTCACATCCAATCACCAAGTCACTAATGTGCTCCCTCTTCTTCATCCCTGGCACAACCGCCCCAGTTTAAACATCTCTGCTACACTGCTGTTACCCACAGGAAAGCCTAACCTTCCCTGCAATGCCAGGTAGTGGACCCCACCCAGCCAGCCTATCAGCTCCACTCCTGCTTTGCCCTAACCACCATACTTCACACTTTGGAAACTTGTTCACAGACCCATTACCACAGGAACAGGTGAACAAAGGCCAATCATATCACTTTAAGATACAAAATTTAGGCATCCAGAGCCATAAAACTAACATTAACAGCTTCAAAATTTTTTCCTATTAACTGCTACCCATTTCCTTCTATCCATTCACTATGGAAAATTTACTAAACACTCTGGGCTGGATATTACTGGTACAATTATGAATAAAACCTACAACTGCCTTTAAGGAAATAAATGTAAAAAGGCAATTACAAAAGAATGTGGTATGTGTTAAAAGGATAGTACAGGTGCTGGGAGACTTGGAGGGGGTGGTAAGTGGGGGACTACAGAGAAGGAAGGAGTGCATGAAAGATGAAGGGACCACCAGCACTAAGCTCAGTCTTGCGGGTGTAGAAAGAGGTCAGAGAAGCCCTGATTTTCTAAGCCAAATAAGCACTGAAGGGAGATAAATAAAGTCCTAAGAGGTTTGAAGTAGATGGTGCTTTTTTTTGAGAGAGAGGGGGAAACATCGACTGGTTGCCTCCCCACGTGACCCCTGACCAGGGCCAGGGACTGAACTGAAACTGATGTACATGCCCATGACTGGAATCGAACCAAGACTCTCTGGTCCATAGGCTGACGCTCTAACCACGAAGCCAAATCAGCCAGGGCATAGATGGTGCTTTTGGAAAACTGAG